TCGGGGGCTGGGTGTGGAATCGGAATAACCAGATTATTGGCTGGCAAGGTGGTTCACGCACGGGGTAGGGCGGGAAGGACGGGGGTTTAATTCAATGGAACTTTCATCGGAGGCGAGCAAGTTTACTATAGAAACGTACAGATGTTTGTTTCGGTTTGACGCGCCCATTGAGTGCGCTTCGCGGGGGGCGGGGGTGGAGTAGTAGCAAGGCGGGGGGCGGTGGGGGTTTCGCGCTCGAGTTCGTCCATTCTCCTCCGGGAGCGCCAGCAGTTAGCGGCTAATAAGCGCCTCTTTAATCCGGAAATCCGGGAATTATGCTCCCTCGCCACGAAAATCCGGAGGAGGGAGGGGTGGGGGTTTCACACCTACTTGACTCGCCATCTTCTTGTTCGCGGAATCGGCCGTTTACGCGAGAATCGCGTCGGGACTCGGATCCCTGTCATCCGATTAGTTGAAAGGGTTACAACCCCCGCCCCCCGCCCCCGACTGCTTCTGTGCGCCCACCCCTTGGAACACGGATGCAAAATTTCATCAAATTTTGTTGAATTTTTTAAAGTTATTCCAATGGCTCAGGAGGCTGTAGAAACCCTAGAAATGGTTCAATCTCGCAAGAAAGCTGCTGCGAGGCCCCAGAATTTTCTTCAAAATTAATGTTTCTCAGGTTAATTCCAGCAAAACCCCGGTTTTCGAGCTCTGAGTACCTCTAGAAAGCTTTATTTCCGTATGCTCTGCAGTTAAAATTAACACCTGTACTCCCGAGAACCTAAAAATTCGATTTCATAAATGTAACCTTAATACTTTGGCAGATATAAATTATATACTATAGAAACGCGGCAAGCCTGGGATTCTCTTCAAGTTTTGCGAGGTTCAACCGGCGGGTAGAAAAGGAAACTCCGGCAGCTAAGTTTTGAATGGGAGGATCCTGGAGATCCCTCGCCATCTTGCAAATCTGAATTAAAATCCCGTAGTAAAAGTTGGGCGCCGAAGTGGAATAAGATGCAGTTATTAAATTGACGTCGGGCGAGTAATCCCTGTTCCTGGGCAGATCTTCCTCGCTATATTCTTCATCTTGGCACTGTCCCTCCAATTTCGGAGCAAAACTCGGTGCTGTGTGCATATTGACTAAAGCGTAAATCAAGTATCGTTTAAATTTTTAAAAAATGTCTTGAAAAATTCAAAAATATGAAAAAAAAAACTATACACTAAAACCTGTGAAAAAATATATCGATGGCTAAAGTGTGGAGCCACGTATATCTCCATCGCGGTGTTTCAAAAAACCTGTTTCTATCATATTCTTTCGAGAAGAGATAAGTCAACTTGATAGCTTGAAATTTACACGGAATATTCTGTTAATAGAAAAGAAAAACCAAGGCAGAGTACAAAAAAATATGATGCCTCGTTTTCCAAAGAAAAAATAAATTATGAGAGGAAGTCTACAACGTCGCAAATGGAGATAGGTAGCCATCGATGCATTTTTTAAATCCTTCAAAAAAAAAAAACTTAATAAAACCCTGAAACGCACTTGTTTCCCTCCATTTAGATGTATGTATGTAAAACAACTGAACAATTTTTTTTTTTTTTTTTTTTTTTTTTNTACGAGAATAATGTAAATTAAAAAAAATTAAGTGATATTTTCATAACGAATTGACAGAATATACGAGGGGGTTGGGCCGCGGAGCGGCCAGGGGGCGGAGCCCTCTAGTAATATAAACTCTAAATGACGACAGAAATTACTTTCGGCTTCAAGAATTTACTGAAAAACGCTAATGGTGCGTTGATCCGGAAGCGCCTGACGGCATAGCATCGGCTGTGGCCCTATTCAGGGCTGAAACCGATCCTTGGTTAGGCAGTTATAAATTTTTGAATTTTTAAATTTTTTTTTTTTTAATTATGTTCAATCCAACCGATGGAGGCTACGGTATTTCCAACCGAAACTTCGCGGTGAATGTGTCTTTTTCTAGTCATGCTCCCCGCAGTTGTATTTTTGAAAAAAATACATCTTGTCACTGGCTGCTCAATTTTCAACATATCTCACTGTACACAAGGTTCTCCAATTAGTTTTTCGCACTCATCGATTGAGGCAGCGAGCAAACTTGATATTTGCTCGGAGACAGATTGCTTTTGTAACCGACCTGTAATTACACGGTGGCACCGCTCCGGTGTTTATCCGATGGCCCCCTCCCCTCCCCGCCCGTGCCCCACCCTCCGCCTCTCCTGGCGACGGCCTCTGAGCCGCCCATCCGGAAGCTGTTTGCACTCGTGTAATTAAAGAGGTCTCCTCCTTGTCTCAGGGGGCTTCATTATCACTCAACCCGGCCGACACTGATCCTCCCACGTTGACACTTTTCTTGGAGTATCTCCGTTTATTCTACTGAGATTTGCTCCTAAAAGTGAATCTTAGGTTCGGCTCCATTACCTCTGGTCAATCTGCTGGTTACATTTGACAAGAGGATAAACACGAAAGTGGAGTTTTATCACCTCTCACCACAAACTTCTGGTCAAATTTAGATCGACAGAGGGAGCATTGAAAAATATGCACGATAAAATTGTATTGCCTCTTCTGAGAGTGCTTAAAGAGTTTATTTCGCAGTATTTTTATATATTGTATATAAAAATATGATTGTATATAAAATAATATATGATTTTTCTCTAAAATGGGACATAGTAGCAAAATAGATTTAAAAGTGAGAAATTGTACCGCCTTAGGGCTTCATTTGGCGTTTATTTTTATTGAAACTCATGTATTTTAGCAGGTTAGGTTATTTTGTCGAATCACCTCCAATGATATTAAAGAAAATTTTGATGAAAATTTAGAAACTAAAGCTATTCTCGTGATAAGTTCCTTTAGTAGTTACATCTCAAATACGGAACTCACCAAATTTCAGACACCTGCATAAATTTCCCATGGGCATATATTTAGCGAGGACTTTGATCACCTGTGAAAGGCTTTGACCAGAGGTTAAATTGAAATCCTAGTCTCTGATTGGTTAATGCCGCAGTCCACTGCAAAAGTACCTCAATCAATTCTTTGTTTCTCTTATGTTCTTTTCATAACATTTTAATGGCATATCACGACATCCGGCGGACCCGCCCAACACGAAATATTGCAGCAATATTGCAGCAATATTGTCAATATTGAAACAATATTGTCAATATTGAAACAATATTGTCATGTAAATATTTCCTTAAATACACTGCAGAAATATGTTGACAATATTGCTAAAATATTTCATGACAATATTGTAACAATATATTTATAAAGATGTTTTAAATATATTTACAAAATATATTTATGTAATTACTTTTAAAACAGTTTGTAAAATATATTTACAAAATATTTTAAAATTATTTTAGAAATATTAGTTTAAAAATATTTGTTTAATATTATGTTAAAAATATTTTATAAATATTTTTGTAATATTTAAAAATTAATTGCTAAAATGGCAAAAAATGGTTTGCGATTTCTGCAATTTGCTTTTTTTGCTAAAATGCCCACCCTCGTGGCGAGAACGACAAAACAATTTGCAAAAGTGGTAATTTTATTGTGCGAAAATGGCACTATACTTTTGCGAAATTAACATTACTAGTTTATGCTATTATGGCTAAAATTTTTGCTAGATTTTCAAAATGTTTGCCAAATTAGCGTATGGTTTTGCTCTGTTTACCAATTATTTTGCGGAACTTACTAAAATCAATCGCTAGAAAAAAGAAACGAGGGGGGGGGAAGAAAAGACAAAAAGAAGGGAAAAAAATAAATAACATAACATAAATACATCGACATAAATTCAAACTAGGAAAAAGCTCAAATAATTAAAACTGGAAAAAGACGCAATTATAAAAAACAGTAATTTGGTAAAGAAAAAAATGAGAGAGAGTTAAAAAAAACGAAAATTTGTAATACATGAATGAATAGGAATATGTTGAGTACAATTAATAAAGAATTTGAAACACAAATTACAGGATGAAATAAAAAATAATAAATAAATAATAAATTCTGGTAAAATATTATAAGAATCCGTCAATAAACAAACATATTACGGACTCAGAGGCCTGCGATAGTTAAGAGATTGAATTTACGGGCCCATCTACATCCAGCCTGGCTGGCCTGGTGGTAAAGTACTGGACTTCGGATATCAACTCCACCCCGAGGCGTGGGTTCTAATCCCGACTAGGACGGCGCGGATTTTAAGGTCAGTAACAACTCTACGATCCACAACCTGGACGCATGTGTACATTAGAAAGAAAATTAGCACCAAAGACGTCTCCTAGAGTGCGCGCACACGGATATGGCATATGATAACCTCATCGCAAGTAAATATTTTTAAAATATATTATCAATATTACCTTGACAATATTGCTGCAATATTGTCAGGGGGGCGGACAACAAACTATTGCAGCAATATTATTTCGATATTGTTAAAATATTGTTAAAATGTTTTTGACAATATTTCAGCAATATTTTTAAAATATTTCCGTGTTGGGCGGGGAGCTGGTCTATGACTGATTTTTGCATGGAGTGAATTAAAGTCTTAGAGGTGATATAGTGCCTATTTTTCTGACGACGAGGAAGATGGAACCGTTTCTTATACAAATGAAGGGGAAAAATTAAATCATCAATGAATGTGTAACATCATCCAAAATAGCGCACGGAATTGGAAAAAAAAAATTTAAAATAAAATAAAAATAGATACTGTATATTATGCGAAGTGGACGAAAGACCAATATACACGTGTAATTAGCTGCAGGTGCGGCACCGAGTATGTTCAAAGAAACTTCTTATTACGGAAATGATAAGAAACAAGCAGATTCCTTCAATTCGTAGTATAGGCAAAAAACACCACCACAGTGCACGAATAGTTGTATGTATGCTCTTGTTTGTATTTCCGCTATGTTTGAATCGGTCAATGTTAAAACAAAACATGTCCGTTTTTCTTATGATCTCTGAGCGCTGTAAGGGTGACATCATTGTAGGTTTCATTTTAATAACGAATATGTCTGCTTGAAACAGCTACAGTTACTCTACTAGAGGAAACGCACGCGAAGTCTGGCGCAAATTGTGTTACATAAAATTGGTCTTGTAGATGGACATAATCTTTTCAACTTCTCGTTATAAAATAGTCTCTAGTATAAGTCCGAAATTTTCATGGAATATTTTTTTTTCTTTTTTTGGCATCCTTCACCCACTTACACATTTCCATACATTCTTTTTTAAAAAATGTGCAATGCCCGGACTTTTTATCTTTACCTGAGGGTTATACCTTCATCTTGTGTCCAAACTTTTCTTTACCAAGCATGAACTGGCTAAATTCAAAAATATGCAGCACAGTAAGGCAACCTGGGGTGAAGGAACATACTCACTCAAGTGACATCTTTGGATTGGAGATCTTCAAGCACCCTCGAAAATGGAGCGAAGATAATTGTTGCGTAATCATAATTATACTGAAACTGTTTCAGCGCTTGTCTCTTGCGCACATGATGCACAGCTAGCTCTCCAGCGGTGAAAGGCGCCCTATAAAACATAAAGATAGGATATTGATCCTTGCTAGTTCCAAGGACTTGCGTAACTTTCGATGTTTTGTAGAGAGGGTACTGTAGGCCAAGGAGCTTTTTTATGTCCTTGTTGTTAAGTTACGTATGATGATTGATTATATTTTACATTCCTGGTATCACGAGGACCAACATTTTTTTTAAAAAAAAAAAAAAAATTATAATCCTGAGTGGCTTGCAGGAAAGGGGTAATGTTTACCGAGATGAGGTAGGCAGTGTTGTTGGACTTCCATCGTGAAAATTCAAACAAGATTCGGATCTGCCGTAACTATTCACCCAGAATATCGGTGAAATTCGACGTTAAACATTTTGATGCAATCATTTTCATACAATTTTCCATCTTATACCGCGTCTAACTTTTTCGGCGTATTACTTACATTCTCATTGGCGGATCCAGCATATTGGCAACATTGTCTTTCCTCCATTTTAACCTATGGAATGTATCAATTCTTGGAGGGGCCAGGTGCTCCGACAAGAATCGATTATTTAGCATAGGTTTAAATGGAGAAAATCCTGTGTTGCCAAATTGCTGGATTATCCGCCTCTGTACATTCTTAGAGATGCTCACGC